TGAACTAATTGCTCTTGAATTGGTTGTTGTTCAATATTATCTAATTAATCTTTTTAAATAATAACCAAGTCTCTTTATATCATTATGCAACTCAATTGAATCTTGTGTTTTTTCAAATTTTATTCTTCAAGAAAAATCACTCCTATTAAGATCAAGATCCTCTAGAAATTTAGCATTTTTTACTTCTACTATTCTTTTATTATGAAAAGGATAATAAAATCTCTATCCTTTAAAGTTCATTTCATAACCAATAAAATATTTGTTGGTTGTTCTACGATCTAATTTTTTTAATTGAGGATTATATTTCTTTATCTCAACAAGACAACGCATATATGTGTATTGTCACCACACTACAAGAAAATTATCAAATAGCAATGAAAATTAGCGTCAAATAGTCAACCATCTCTATTTAGCCATGGTTTTGCAACGGACTTGTGACAAATATGTTTTGAAACGAAATTGACATAGAATTGTGATGTAATATTAGTGAAAGATAGAGTTCTATTGCTAACTAGCCTCCGAAAAAAACACACACCTAATATAGTGACGGAATCATGACGGATTTATGAGAAAAATTAGCGACAAAATATCAATTCTATTACCGATTCCCATTTTTGAATATCCTACGAAATGAAGCGATTGTTTGAGATTCAAATCGGTGACAAAAACATAAATCCCTCGCTACGTAACAATGGATTAGCAACGGAATTGAGTACTCTATCACCGACTATCTACTTTGGCCCATTTTTATAAAGACTAGAAAATAAAACAACGGATTCAAATTCATATTAGCTATGGAAACGAAAATCCATAGCTTTTCCATAGCTAAATTGCGAGGGATTAGCGACAAAATTGAATATTTCGTCCACGACTAGCAACTTTGCCCTATTTCGAAAAAAATCGAGAAAATAAAATGACAGATTTAAGTACGTATTAGCTATGGACACTTAAATCCCACGCTAATTAGTGATAGATTAGCGATGAAGTTGCCACATAGTACTTTAATGAGACCGGAAAACTTATAGAAAAAGAGTTATAGAAAAAGAGTTAAAAAAATAAGAACTCACCGAGTTAGTACTTTAATGAAACTAGAAAAATTAAAAATTACACCGAATACAAATAAGGAGTTAGTTATATTTATTGGAAATATGAAAATCACTTAATAACATCATTTGATAAGAAAGGTTACCAAACTTGTTAAGTAATTTTCTAAAAATCATTACTTGTCAAAATATTTCTAAGCCTATCTCCAAGTTTACTCGCCATGTAGGGTCAATGTAAATTTGGAATTTCTAAAAAATCAATTCTACATAATTTATTTATAAGGGACCTTGAAATCGTTTTAAATTACCTAAGGACCTTGAAATTAGATGTCGAGTCAATTTAATATCAAATTCAATATAATTCGACATGAATATCATATTAGAAGCATTTCAATGAATTAAGACATTAAATGAATGAGAATTTTTGGTAGAATCGTACTAAATTGCAGTTGAACTCTAAAATCAAGAATCATATTAATTTAATATCGGATCCAAATATAGTTTTGGTACAATTGTTATGTCAGGAACATAATAACAAAACAAGAACAATCTAAGTCTATTTAGATTTATTATATGATTTAATCAAGACCGTTATCCAACCTTAAAATTAGTAGGGATGGCAATGGAGCGAGGTACGGCGGCGTCGGGACGGGTTGGATTGACATCCCTAAAATTAGGATTAAATAAACATTTTGAAATATTAACAATATTTTGTGGGAGAAGATGTAAAAATCGTTTTCCACCTTAGAATTATGTTAATATGAATATAGAAACTCCGATTTTTAAGGGTTGAATTCTTAATTAAATTTATTTTTGGTGTAGACGAATAAAAAAAATGTAGTGTAAACTAAGAAAATTTAAATAAATAGCCAAAAAAGTATTAGAAAATTATGAAATTTGAAAAATAATTTAAAAATATTATTTGTAAAATGTTTTTTAAACAAAAAATAAATCAGACAAAAACCATACCAAAAAACTTGCCAAAATCACATACGAATTGAGCAGTCCATTTTTTGAAAACATTGTCGATTTAACCATTATCAAGTGAAATAAACAATTCAATTAAAAAAAAAATCTTTTTTATGCTAAACTGTCAAAATAAATAGTCTACAAATCCAGGGACTAACAAAACAAGCCAAAATTTTAAAAGAAAGAAACACTGCCAGAATTATTCTGCATCTTCTTTCCAACCATGGCCATACATGTTCGTGAGTGGAACCAAGGAAAAACGGGAAATCATGGCCAAATTCTGATATAACTAAGCTAATGGCATGCCAACCTTCCCCATGCCAGCCCAAAAATCTCAAAACTATACTCCTAAAAATGTGTTTAATCCATGGAAAAGGAGGGCTGGAGTTCGGCCATAACAAGGAGAAAAAACAAAACAAAGCGAAATCAAACCTTGTATGTGTTATTTTCTTTAGTTTTCTTTCTTTTTTTTTTTTTTTCCTTGCTTGCAAACTATTCAGAAGAGACTCTTTATTTATTTATTTATTTCCTTTTTCAAATGAAAATTTGAAAACTACATTCACAAGAAATGAGCAATTACGTGCGATCCACTATAGTACTCCAAGAAAAAACGTAACCAATTTGCAAATTGAGCATTCAGACCATTTTTAAAGGTTGCGCAGTCGGCAAGAGATGAGTTTTCTTTGCCTTTCTCAGTTTTTCCTATTATGAAAGGTCGATCTCAAAACATTTTAATGCTGAGCAGATTGCAGAATATTCCAATTAGTTTTCTTTGAGTATCTAGAGGGTAAAAATAAAATAAAATAAAATTCAAGCCTATACTATAATGAAAAACTTTATTAACCAAATGATTATTTCGATCAATATGAAAGAATTTATTCCTAACGTAAATTAATTTTGTTTATTTTTTCACTTAAAAATTATGTAAATTAAGTTTTATTTAATTAATTAAAAAAAAAACAAGAAGTTCGAGATGAATAATCCGTAAGTTTTGTTACTAGGTTGTTGGCCTCTTTTAATATGGCATCAAATACTTCACCAAAAGCATATGCCTGAATCAATGATAGTGACTATGCTTTTGCGCCCACTTGTGGTATTTACGTACAACCAACTAATTTTGTGTGTAAAAGAATTGTAATATCATCACATCTAATTCATGACTATAAGTACTTCTATAGTAGCAATTGTTTTATATAATTAGTGTCAATTTCGTACTGAATTTAATTGGCCTCCCAATAAATAATAAGACAAAAAAGCTCAAATTCAATTTGTTAGTTAAAAAGTAACAGATTAGAGTTGTTGATATTATTATTTTTCTCTCTAGTTTCTCTTGGTAAGAAAAACACCATAGCCCCGGATGATGATTTTCTCACCGATGGCAACCCTTCGTTCGCCTTGATTTATTTATTTATTATTATTATTTTTTGTTTTTGGGTGTTAAGAACTTAGACTTAAATTGGTCTAAATTTTAAATCGTGATTTGGTCTGTGCAGGCGGTTTCTATTTCGATAGGATGTATTATCTTTACAATAAGATTTTGGTAATTTTTTTTTATTGAGTTGTAGAAGATATCTCTTGTGATTGAAAGAAATTGATATTCTTTAGGAGTTTTGAATGACTGAAATTTTTGGTTAATAAAAATAAAAAAGATTAGAATTACAACTGGACAAGTGGATTAAAAATGGTATACCATATTTTTCACTGAATAAAAAAAAAGATTAGACTTAGAACTGGACAACTGGGTAAAAATTGTATACTATATTTTTCACTTAATGAAATGAAAATATTTTGGCTCAAAAAATCAAAAAAGAAAATTGGCCGTCGGTGTCTGTTTGGTAATGCATTCTAATGCATTGACAGCCTTGCTCACATGCAAACTGACCGCATGAAAGCTACAATTAACCCTGCCTTCAATTTCTACATAACTCAAGCATTATAAATTTGGCGGAGGGTGTTCAAGCAAGTCATCTCTTCCTTCTTCTCTTTTCACTAGTTTCCCATTTTTTACTCTAGCCAATTTCTCTGCCTTCTTTGTGCTCTCTGGTTCGCATGGCCAAGTTTCAAACCCCATGGTTCATGACAGTGGCTCCCCCACAATATATCTCCGTGACTAAGCGCCCAATGACAATAAAGTTGGACGCAATTGTTGAGGAAGAGAGCGGTTTTGGTGTCAGTGATAGCCCTTTATCTTCATCACCAATTTTCAAAACATCTTCATTTCATCTATCAAGACACATGCAGAGGTCATTCTGCTTGAATAAACCATAATTATGGCCATGTGAGACTTTCAATTAATAGCCTTTTTCATTTTCCTGAGTGCAAATAAAGAACCATGGTTTTACTGTGGGCTCCCGGTTGCTGCATCAAATAAGTAGGGGAGAAACAACAATTTTGCTAGTGCATTGTGTTGTTTTTGCCACATTTTAGTCAGTCTCTTTTGTCATGTTGGGGTGTGTTTTTTGAATCTCCAACTGGATTGCTCATTCTGGTTAGCTAGCTAGAATATCTGAATTTACCTTGTTGTTCTGTCATTTTCTTTTCTGAACAATCCTGGTTGTTCTATCCAGTACTGTTGAACTGTGCATTCTAGTTTGTCTAAGTCCCCGGACATTTTTTTCTTATCATTGTTTATTTGTTTTATTAAGTAACTCCTGTGATCGTCATTATTTTTCACACGGTCATCAATTATCATATTCAACAATTAAGGAAAAGGGTTGGGGGGGGTGGGGGGGGGGGGGGGGGGTGGCAGAGGAGAGGATGAAGCCGAGCAGACCATATTTCAATACATTATTATTTTCGAAGGACCCTTTATTATTATTAGGTCGAACTATTCAACCGATAACAGTTCCAGAGCAAAGATACATTATTATTTTCCAAGGACCCTTTATTATTATTAGGCCGAACTATTCAACCGATAAAAGTTCCAGAACAAAAAACTTAAAAAACCAAAGGTTCACAGAATCAAGCTTCTTTTGCATTACTACATAATTATTCAACCCCCAGCTCCTTTTTAATCTGCAAAATGGCTTCATAAACCTTTTGCTGGTCACTCAGAGTATTGGATACACTCTCCTTTTCCAAGCATTTTTCTCCCCACTCCACGAGCTTAGGACACTCGGCCACCATGCTCAAGTTTCCTAGGGTCTCAAATGTGTAAAAGAAGCTGTAGAATGGAACAAGGGCCAAGTCTACATAGCCAAAGGTCTCACCCCCAAAATATGGCTTGTCTCCAAGTTCTCTTTCCAAAATTTTGAAGCACTCAATCAAGTCCTTCTTTGATGATTCTTTGATTTCACCTTTAGATGCCCATAGATTCCGTCCAATAGGATAAATCTGCACGAAAACAATTTGAATGGCAATAAAGATAGATTAATATACTGTGCTGAATATATAGGAACAGAACATATTATTTCATTGATGTTTCCTTAATTTCCGCTGTTTTTCCCCATTTTACCTCGCATTAATTTGACGTGGTAAGACAGAATTAATTTATAGGGAAAAAAATTTATATCAGCAGCAGGAACTTACCTTCTTGTCGATATAGTCAGCCCAAAACCTGGCATGTGCACGTCGGTAAGGATCCGAGGGCAACAATGGAGATTTATGGTTCCAAACCTCATCAATGTATTGAACTATGATCATTGATTCACAAATGGGTCTCCCATTATGGATCAAGACAGGGATTTGCTGATGAACTGGGTTCATCTTGAGAAGAACAGAGCTTTTGTTGCTCAAGTCCTCTTCCCTTGATTCATATTTTATTCCCTTCTCTTCCAAAGCTATCCTGACCCTTGCTGCAAAAGGACTAACCTTCAAATCTAATAGAACTACTTCATTAGCCATTTGTTTCATAAGATCAAAAACAAGATTTTACCCAGTAATTTGTTTCTCTTTTCCCTTGGCAATGTGCAACTAAGGCGAACACGACAATTTATATTAAAACTCAGAGTCCTTTGTGGAATTTTTCAATTTCTCTTGTACTTCTAGGTGCTTCGTTTTTGTTGTCATTGCTTGCATCAGAATGGTTAAAAGACGATAGATTTTCCAAGAATAGCATTGTAGAATTTTCCAGTATTCTGCTGCAATATGATTTATATAATTAGCCGATTTCTTTTAGTCGTTCTTTTCGAATTTTCCACTACAAGCAACATTTCGTCAGCAAAATGTTTGAAAGATTTTTCTCGAAGAAAAATAAAGTGAATTACAAAGTCATCACATGAAAAGGATCCGGAATTCAAACCTTGTTTTGACAGTTGAAGTCTTGGAGGACTAATACGAAGTTTTTTGAGTAAATTATTACTTAATTCCTTTGTTTTGAAAAGCCCATATCATATCCTTAATTTTTATATCCATCTATGACTTCGTCGTCTATTAATAAAGTACCGAGTTCTCACCAATTTATATGTTTTTTTTTTCAAGTATACTTTTTGATTATATATTAATTGAAAGAAACCCAAAGGATTGCCTAACCATTTCCTAAAAAACCAATGGAGTTCTTATGTTATGATTTCTGAAACTAAAGAACTAATTTAATATATTTCTAAAAAAAAAGGACTAAATTATTATTTATTCAAGAACATTTAATTCATCAGAGTTGTCATACCCAAAATTTGAGTTATATTGATTTTCTGTTATTTTTTAGTATTTTACGTTATTTGTTTTACATTTATTTTACTTTAATTTTATTTTATTCTCATTTTAATTTTGATTTATTTTTACCTTTATTAGCTTAATATTTAATTTTAGAAATTATCTTTTATTTAATAAAGAGAGAGAAAAAGACAAAAAAAATAGATAATAAAAAAAAGATTAGAAAGATGATTTAGACTCCAATTAAGAATGGTATGAAAAGTGAGGATTAAGTAACATTCATTTAGGTATGTAATTAAAAAAGGATTAAAAAAATTCAAAGGCCTTATTAGAATTAATCAATGTGAAATTGAAAGAAATCAAGAAAATAAGAATTAAACAATTTCAATTATTGTGAAATTTTGTTAGCTAATATTGCTTTTTTATATTCTTATCTTATGCTTTATCTAGAAGCAAATAAAATTTTTATTTCCCCAAGCAAATTGTTCAGGCTAGACAACTAGCTGAGCTCACAAGACTCAGGCAAATTGTTTTAGGCTCGGTACCTCCACTGAGCCTACAAACTTCAAACAAATGGGTGAGGGGGTAATGCAAAAGATACATTTATGGGCCCAAACCAAGTACTTGAACAATTTGATTGCCACAAAGCACAATCCTTGGAAGTCTAATTAACCAAAAACACAAGGGAAAGGCCCGAATGTGTACCAAGTACTTTGAGAAATTTTCTTTTTGAAAAAATATTACAAATATAACGATCAAATGCGAAAAATTTAAAAATAAGTATTGATGAAAGTAGGGAAAAAACAATGTATGTGATCAACTCTATTTGTCTTTTTTCTTTAAAAAATAATAAAAAATATATATATTTGTCTTAAGAGTTAATTATAATTTAGTCTTTATAGCTTATCAAAATAAATAAATTATTCCTTGTAGAATAAAAAAACTATTAAATAAGATATTAATCAGTATTGATCATGCTTAATTTATTCATATTTTTTTCAAAAATTATTTTTTTCTCATCAATCTTTTAATATTGTCAATTTCTTTTTTAATAAAAATAAAAATAAATTGGAAAAAATATGAAATAGAAAAAAAAAGACTAAATTATAAACGAATTTAAAAATATAGGAAGTATATGTGTGGTTTCTAAAACCATGAGAACTAACTAATTGAGTTTACCAAACTATAAGAACTAAATTATAATTAACTTTTGTTTTACTACTACTTTTATTAAAAATCCAAATAATGTATCCATTTGTAGTGAATTCCCTATAAATTTATTATGGAAGATAGTTATTACAAAAGTTAATTATATTTTTGGTTTACCAACTTATCATTTTTTTTCCTAATGAAGTGTGTGCTCTTTAATCTTTGTCATTTGAAAAGATCAAGTTGTAATTTTTTTTCTAATCAAGTTTTTCATTAACTCTTGTTAACTTTACGTTGAATTGAACATTAGCTGCTAGCGTCACACCGACAAATGAACCCTATTGTTAATTTTTTTTTACAAACTTGCAATTTTTTTTTTATTTGAGTGTAAACTTTGATATTTGCTATTTTAGTATACCAACTCGTAATCTTTTCTATTTATATGATTTTGTTAACTCTAGGTTGACATGTCCGGTAGAAGCACACATAAAATTGTCATGTGAGCCCGTTGTCAAGACACATGGCAACAAGAAAAAAAATAAAAGTAATGAGTCATTCTTATTTCTAAATAACAACATTAAAGGCAAATAAATTACATAACAACATACTCGAAAAAGTCATACTCCAACACGTGTCCTTCACAATTGTGAAAAAGACCCTCAATTGCTTCAAATATACATATATAAGATCCCTTGTATCAAAAGATCCTCTACAATCGGAACACCCCAATTGCTCATTCCTCCTCGGCTATGCATGCATACTCTCTTGCGAGAAGAAGCATAAATGATAGACATTAAATGAAAGACACCACCTACACATCATTGCCAAAAATGAGAGCACCTACATTGATACCGACAAGACATTCACCTAGGAGGATTCTCTACTTGTAAAAACTTTTGTAAAAATTCATTGCATGCTAAGAGAAAGACTCTTTTACCTTTAAGATAAAGATGCATGCGTCCTCTCGCTTCATAGAAGTTGACCATCTCTACTACTATATAAAAGTCAACATGACACACGTTAAAAAGGTTTTACCTTCGTACTAAAAAAAACATATACTTGTTGTACATCTTCTCCATTTAGAGCAAAACATATATTGCTAAGTTTATTCGAGTCAAACACTCAAAATATACAACTAAGCCTATTCGAGTCAAATATTTCTCTCCGCATACTAATGTAGCCATCGAAATGTCCTTAAAACACTAAAGAAGACTAGATAAGGACTTGTTTTATAGGTATTTGTCATAGATCGCCAAGATAAAAACAAATCTCCACCTTACTATCAAGTAAGAAGAAACAACATCCAATCGTTTATATAATCCAAGGATCACAACCTCATCACATAATAATAATAAGATATTTATGACATTTACATAAAAATATTTTTTTTTCTAAAAAAATTAAAAAAAAATTACTTAAACACATCCGAGATACAAAGAAATGATTGAAAATTAAAACAATAAAACTTGGTTTTGTTCATTAATCAAGGTAACAATCCATTCTCATTCTTAATAGAAAATCCTTAGTGATGGTCGTTTAAAAAATAACGATATGAAATTAAGTTTTAATTTGAAGTTAAGGATGACTTGAATGCGGGTTTGATGAGATAGATCGATTATAAATTTCTTATTTAATTTTATATATTTAGTGGTTAATCCATTCTCATTTTTTATAATAGTTTTTGTTTTTTTGGTTACAAATATTTGATAATGGAGCCTATATATATAATAGTCGCACATGTGTAGTTAACGACCACATCAATTTTGAATTAATGAAACCACTCAAATAGAAAAAAAAAATTACAAGTGGATACACTCAAATAGTAAGAATCTAAGTTTGCACATTCAAATAAAAAAAAAATGATAAGTTTGTATATTAAAAATTGACATTGACGCCCACATGTTGGTGCCACATTTGTAGTTAATGGCTATGTCGGCATAAAATTAACGAGAATTAATAGAAATACTTTATTAGAAAAAACTACGAACTTGGACTACTCAAATAAAAAGATTAAAAAATACACATTTAATTAGAAAATAATGATAAATTAAAAAACCAAAAATGCAATTAACTCGTTATTATAGCAAAGTGAATGTTCATTAATACATGAGATTGTATTGTAATAACCTTACAAATAATTGTATCTCACTTTATACTATCTACTAAAGGAAAACCATTTTCACTATAGCAATGAACAATGTTAATCACTATTCATTGCTATAGTATTTTGGTTTTTTTTTTTTAAAGTTTTTTTTTTTTGCCAGCACCCGTTGGCCTCCCCTCCCCCCCTTTTACTCGTTTACTTGTTCATTTGAACGATGAACGGCTTGCCCTCCTTTTTTTTTTCTCTAAACACTAATTTTTTTTTTATGCTTTTTCTTTGTCTCTTTTGTCCTTGGGGGTTTTGTTCTTTGTGTCTCTTTTGTAGGTTTTTTTAGTATTTTCATAGTTTTTTTCGGCTCATTTAATGCTTCTTTCTTTCGATCATCTCTTTCTTTACAGACTGACCATTCATCCCTCTATTTTCCTGTTCAAATAATTGTAGCACAATACACGGTTTACTATTCTTTTCATTGTTCTTGCTACAATATTTTTTCCTGTCTTTAATTGACTCTTACTAAATTGCCATACAAAATTATAATTATTTTTTACCATAAAATAGATTATTAAACTGAAATAATGTTTTTTATATGATTTTATATATTTTATTCAACTCGCGAGTGTAACGCGGGTCAAAAATCTAGTTAATCACTAAAAAAAAAAGAAATGGAACCGGATGCATTGTTCTATTAGATTCATCCAATTATTTTTACATGTAATAATTCTTTTTTCTCTTTATATATATATATATATATATATATATATATATATATATATATATATATATATATATATATATATATAGAAAATTTAAAATATTGAAAAAGTAACTAACAATATGTATTTTATGGATTTATTTTGAAAAGTGAGACACATAAAAAAAAATAATCAAACTCATAAAAACTTTTAGGAATTTTTTCAAACTCAAATATATATATATATATATATATATATATATAGACACACACACACACACACACACTTCTTTCTCTTCTTCTTCTCTCTTCTTTTTGTTTTTACCTCTCTCTTATAAAATAAGCATTATTAAGTACTTGTAAAATAAGATAAAATTTCTCGTTATCAAAATATTTGTATGGCGAGATATCCTTATTTGTTTTAGGCTAAAAGGGTCTAATAACTCTTGAATTTTAAGTCATTTGAGGTGGAGTTTTTGATTTTTTTTTTATTGGTTTTGAAAATCTCAAAACTATTAATTTTATTTTTTAGATTTAGCTTATTTAGTTTTTTAATTTTCTATCATTTATCTCAAAAAATAACTATCTCTTAAACGCATCTAACCACTCTTGAAATTTAAATCATATGAGGTTGAGTTTCTGAAAATTTTTATTGATTTTAGAGATTCTTGAACTTTTAATTTTTTGAGGTTTAGTGCATCCAATGATTTTCGATTATCAACTTCTCTTCTAAAAAAATTCAATTCTTGGTATTTTGAATTGAAATTTTGCACACACACTAGAAAAAATTCAGTCCATGTTGTAGAAAAATTTTAGAAACTTTCAAAATCAGAAACTATATTTTTTTATTTTTTGTATATTAAAAATATAGAAAATAGGGAATAATTCCAAATTTTTTCGAGGAGCCTCACATAAATCTCGTTGAATGATTTTTATAATAAAAATATTTATGTGATTGTTATTTTTTGAGATAAATGACAAAAAATTGAAGGATAGGCTAAATCTTAAAAAAAAATAAAATTAAAAGTTTAGGAATCTCCAAAACCAATAAATGTTTTTCAAAAAATCAGCTTTAAATGACTTAAAATTTAAAATTGGTTTGATCTTTTTAGTTGTTAAAATCACATAATTTTTTTTCATAATAAAAATCATTTGGTGAGATTTATGTGGGGCTCTTCAAAACATTTGAGATAATTTCTGGTTTATTTTTTTATTTTTTAATTTAAAAAATATAGCTTTTTATTTCAAAAAATTCTGATTTTTTTTTCCTAAAAAATGGATTGATTTTTTTTCCAATTTTGTGAAAAAAATTCATCTTAAAATACTAAGAATTGAATTTTTTAGAAGAAAATATGATAGCTAAAAATTATTATAAAGGTTAAAAATAGCGAGACTCCTTTAGCTTTTATTTTTTGCAAATAATCCCTTTAGGCGTAAATGCGGGTCTATCGCTAGTCGGTTATATTTTCTTTGGTCAGTGGACAGCAGAACTACAATTTAGAAGCAAACTTGAAGACTTAATGGCATGAAATCAAGTCTATTTCAAATCCCTATGCACCACCAATTATATGAAGCCACATCATCAAATAATTTAAATCACCAAAACTCAATAAATAATGAATTAATAAATAGAGGTATTTTCTTTTCTTTTCTTTTCTTTTTTTATCTTCCTTTTTCATCCTAAGGTAGAAACTATAAGAAAAAGAAAAAAAAAACTTAAAATGAAAAAAGATTAAAAAAAAAAAAACAATAAAAGGGAAAGGAAAAAGAAAAGAAAAGAAAAGAAAAACTCTTACCTTCATTAACTCAATAGTCGATAATTAAGATAAACACTCTAAAAAATATCAATAATAAAAAAATTTCACTAGTTAGAAATTTAAATAATATCAATTAATAATATATATATTTTTTATTTTAAATGATATATAATTAAAAAAAAAATGAAAAATGTTGATTCCCCTGTTGTTGTTAAGAATTCAGTAAGTGAAGACAAACAAACTTATCTTGCTAATACGGACCGCAGTTTTCGGCTTCACCATTGGATCCACTGTACACTACAAAAATATCGTGTGCGGGATCCTCAATTTTACTGACAATAATTTTTTTAATAATATTATTATTAGTATAATAAGCATGAGCTAAAAGTTAAAAAGAAAAGAAAACCCAACCACTTTTGTTTTGTATGTTTGCGATTTTAAATTCATAGCTAACATGTAATTTGGCCCATTAAAAAACCTAAACACTTTTCTATTGTCTGTTTGTGATTTTTAAATTAATAGTTAATTAATATTTAATTTGGCCTATTTCCTCTTCATGGTTGAATCGAAAAATAGAATAAAACTTCACTAGAAGTCATGAACAGCGATCCAACTACAAGTTTTTGTTAAGCAAATCGAGATAAAAGCATCTGTATTGAGTTGAATAACAGCAGTTTGCAATCTTGTTTACTTATTAAATTGTTTATCTCGATAAGCCAAAAACAAAATAGTCATGCACCAAATTAAAGATGACAAAAAAGCAAAGGCAAATGGGTGAAAGACACAAACCACCCTAGGGAACCAAGAACTGGAAGACAATACGAAAATGACATACAAAAGCAAGAGACATCACCTCACAAAACTAAAAGACACAAACAAATAACAGGTGACCATGCAGAGGCATTCTGCTCTATACAGTGGACACCGCACGGTTTATTCAATATTGATGACCAGTGATCTCATTTTCCAGCAGCTCTAAATAACATTGTTTAATTTCATTCCTAAGGACTGAAAATACATTCAGGAGAACGAGAGTTTGATTCCCAAGGACTGAAATTACATCACGGAGAACGGGTTCTTTTCATCATGTGCTGCTGGGAGTAAATTATAAATTAATCCCTTTTGTTTAAAACAATATTAATTAGTCCTCCTGATTTCAAAATCCAATCATTTAGTCCTTTTTGTTATTTTTAATTTATTTTTATTTTTTTTAGAAATAGAAAGGAAAAAAATAAGTTAAAATTATGAAAATATTAATGAGAAGAGGATACATTTCATAAAATAAAAAAATATTAAATTAATTATGATCAATACTAGTTAAAAAAATTAAATAATTAAATTTTGAAAATAAGAGACTAATTAATTTATTTTTAGAAAAGAAAGGGACTAATTTATAATTTTGTTTGTGCTGCTGGTAATTATGGTATGTAGAATATAGTGAAACGATACGAGATTGATGCTAATTATTGTAGGTAGAATATAGTAAAATGATAGGATATAATTTAGTATTTAAAAATCATAAAAAAATGCAGTAAGGTCGTAGAAAAATACTCAAACTTTATCTGTCAATTCCTCTTTTTCTTATGAAAACGTTATTGCAACTCTTTAAATAAAAAACCTAAAAAAACCCTAATAATATTGAATAGAAAAAATAAAATAAAATAAAAATAGTATTCTAGAGTACTAAGTTTTTGAATAACACTTGTCTAATTAAATAAAAAATAAAAAGTTTTTTTTTTAATTTAACAATTAAATAAATTTTACTATGGAAATAATTCATCCTAAAATTACATGAGACACTCCTCCTATCAGTCTCTCCAGCTTCAAAAGAAAAATAAACTTAAAAAAAAAAAAAATCGTAATATGACCACTTCTTTATGCAGTAATTTGCCCAAAAAACTTTAAATTCAATCTCACCAATAATATGATTGCATAAACTTTTTTTTGCTTAATCAAACTTTTCAAATCCAATAAAAATCAACATATTGTAAGTTCAAGAAACAATGAGAACTTTTAACTTCATGGTCCATGAAATCAATTTTAGGAATAAGATCCACAATTAATTCCTTAATTTCTAATAAGGATACTAATACTTTGAATTTGAATTCAAACACATATTAGATAGAATGAAGTTCAACTCGTAATATTTGAATTTATAGTTACATCAAATACCGATAGAATTTCCATATAAATTCTCTTGTACACGAATAGTACAATACAATCAATACCGTGATTCTTTCATGGTATGAGAGCTTTAAAAGGACTTAATTAGTCACCATCCCTTTTCCTTCTTTTCTCATGTCGAATGTCTAACCTCTCTCTTCCTTTTTCCTATGTTACCCCTAGCTCTAGTTCCACATTTCCAAATCTTCCAAATTCAAGTAAGCTTCCTATTAAACGTTCTTCTACCAATTACCTCTTATGACACACCTAAATATATCCCCTTCATGAGGATACAACTTAGATCACCATATAGATGTCTCTATTAATCCACCCACATGTTTTGTTATCGATATAGTTCCAAATCTAGAATACCTTACTCGATTCCAAAAAGATCAATTTGTCTTCGGATGGATTGCATGTTATTTTATAGAGCCCACACTTTATCAAAATAGTAGGAGCAAAGACAACTTGTGATGCTTGGTAGAAACTTGCCAAAACCTATGCCTCTAACTTTACTACTCAAATTCGCTAGCTTAAACTCTCCTTGCACAATCTTGATCTCAAGAATGACTCAATCATTATCTACATGACTCGAGCCAAGACATATTTTATGGTGTAAACTCATACCATGAACATATTTGATCATGATTAAGTGTTAAAGAGAGCTTATTCATATGTTCATAAAGAGACCACATAGGAAATGATCGAGTGTATACATTATGTTGGTTTTTGGCTAGACTATGTCTAATTTTCAATGTTTTTATCAAGCATGATTTTAAAAGAGGGCTGAATTGGATATTCAATAGGGCATGTCTAAAAAAAATGAATTCTATCATGAAAAACATGTTTAACAAGCTCATGCATGGTTGCACTTATTGAGCCTTGGCTTATGTTTTGCCTTATGGTGTAGGTGAGTATAATGAGTGTAGGTTGCCATGTTAATGATATTGCTAGAGTTGTTTTGAGTTTGCTAAAATATGTACTACGTACTTAGGTTTAAAGTTTGTAGGCTAGACAACATCAATTTTTGATATGTTGCCATGTTTTGATTGTAAAAATGATGTATATTGAGCCATTTTGGCTATTTTAATACATATAAACAAGTTTGAAGTCTAATAAAATAGATTTACATTGAAAATTTTTATATTGGGTTTAATTTTTTTAAGAATTAAGGCTTCCATAATGTAAAACAAATCCTTTGAACTTTAAAAAAAAGTATTTTTGCTATGCGTTACATATCCTATATGAGGTCTCATGTCATAGGGTATCGACACGCATTTGACATGCGTAGGACATTATCATAACTTGCCTAGCCTCTCTTAGTCAAGCATGTTAAAGCAACGTTTAGCGTTCTACAAATGTACAATGCTATTGTAGCACTCTTAGCCTCCTTTGGATTGCGGGCACTATCATTTTGGTATAAAAAAATTTGATTCAATAGGCCTAGATAGTACATACAAACTCTAGTTCCGACAACATCATTAATATGTAAGTTTTTGACTATTTGTGTATTATGTTTACTTGATGAATTATATGAATATGTCTACTTGTTGAACTATGAGCTATGTTTAGTGCTTGTTGCAATATTTACATATGTTTGTGTGTTGAACTATGAATCATGGTGATCATATGGGTGTAGCTTAAATCGAATAGTATGATAAGCAAAAATCATGGTGTTGAGGGGAAAAGTGGCGGGGTTACCCACTAAGGGAAAAACAATGGACCTATGGACAATAAGGTTACGATAAAACAAGTGTTTGAGTTATTAAAGTAGTAGTAAGAATTGATATGATAGTAACAATAGAGGCACGATAAATAGATGCAAGTTTTACTAGTAGTGCAATAGCAATAACTAGTAGTGAGGCTACCGTAGTCGGTTGACACGATTAAGCGATTTAGGAATTCAACCTAAAGGAGTTTGTAGAAAATCTGATCTTATGGTGGTTAAGGAGTGGATTGAGTCCCTATAAATGATTTTTGATCATATGGTAATAGATGATGTAGACAAGGTGTCTTGTGCCATCTTTATGTTGACCAATGATGCATTGGAAATAAAAAAAAAGACTAAAGAGAGGCTATGAGGTTATAACATGCCAATAGGTTGAATGTGGCATCAAAGTTCATTGAGCGGAATGCCAAGAGAAATTAGATTATGAGATCATGACAAAATAATGCTAAGAAACCTAGAATGACCAAGAGGTGGTAGAGGACAAACACACAAAATAAGACAAATTACGTTAAGTGTCGCTATAAGCACGTGAGGGATTATTTGATTGGCACTAATATGTACTACTTTTATAAAAAAGTTAGGCACCCGATGAATAATTTTTTAAAGAAGAGCGCTGCACCGAGAGTCTCAAGACGGGTGTATATAATGACATAAGAGAATCTCGATGAGGAGTATGCAATGGTGATTTGTGTAATATTCTAATCCTTAATCTTATTGCATATACTTTAATTATTTTAGGTGTCACGCATTCATTCATATCATGGTCCTTATTGAGAAAATTAGAAGTGATCCTAATAAGCTTGATATCATATATAAGGTAGCTCTTTCATCTAGAGAGATATTAGAGTCTAGGGTCATGGTTAGAGATTGTGGGTTACGAATTGGTGGTCAAATTTTGAAAGCTCACTTAGTTTCCTTGAGGATTTAGGACTTTGATGTGATTTTAGGCATGGATTGCTTGTCCAAAAATGGAGCATCGATTGATTTTCTTGCAAAGAAGGTTGTGTTTTATCAATCAAGGGAACAACCATTTGAATTTTAAACCAAATACAAGCTAAAAATAATAAACATTATCTCAATAGTGACACCTTGGAAAATGGTCCAAAATGGTTGGGTTATTTGATTAATGTGGTTGATACTATGAAGAAGGGAGGGAAAAACTAGAAGACATTGATATGGTGAGAGACTACTAAGATTTATTTCCTGAAACCTTTTTAAGAGTGCCATCAAAATGAGAGGTTGAGTTCAAGATTGAGTTGGAACCGGGAATGGCATTGATTTCGAAAGCACCATATAGATCGACACCTATGGAGCTAAAGGAATTGAAAATTTAATTGCAAGACTTATTGGACAAGGGCTATATTTGGCCTAGTTGTTCACCTTAGGTAGCACTTATGTTGTTTGTGAAGGAAAAGGATGGGATAATGTGGTTTTGTATTAACTATTGAAACTTGAACTAGGTTACTATCAAGAACAAGTATTTGTTAGTGTAAGTACCCACGATCCAAACTTGATTGGATGGTTTGAGTTATTATAACATTGCATTATTTACTTTATTAATAATAAAAAAGTCTTTTATTCTTGATACATTGCCAACATATCTAGGAGTCTATTGAATCATATCTATAATTTTAAGCATTCACATAATAAAAGAAAAACAAAGACTTTGGAAAAGGTTTCTAATTTTGAGAGTTTCCTATTTTGGAAATGGTTTTTGAAATAGAAAGTTTCCTAAAATGAAAGTTTTCTAAAATCAAAAGTTTTCTATTTTATATATTAATTTTCTAATTTGGATGTCGGTTCCAAATTTGGAAGTGAGTTCCCCAAAAGAAAATTAGTTTCCTAATTTAGGTTTAAGGGTAATTTGATAAATTATTTCCTAATGTGGGCCTCCTAAAAATATCTAACCTAATTTATTTGGATAGTGTAAATTAATTAGTAATTAATTGGGCCAACCAAAGGAGTTTAGACTAATAGGTTTAATCTAAAAGCCTACAAGATATTTTGGCGTGAGGATAAATATGAATCTTATTGGATAAGAATCAAGGTTTAAAAGGATAA